AAAAAGGTCTGGCCGAAAAGGAGTTTTAAACAAGTTACAAACGTTATCCCATACTTTAATAACAAAATCTACGTATCCTTTGGCATTATGTAAAGATACTGGAGTGTAAGGTCTGACAACTAGTTCTCCATTGACTCGAGCACTAAAAAAAATATGATTGCCTAAAAGAAAGAAATGGAATTAATCATACAAACAGGTAGGCCCAATATATGTTCTGGAGTTGGTAGGGCAAATTTAAATCGCCTGGTATCATGAGTGATTTCCTGTGAAAGGTAATAAAAGTAATATACTACCTCCTTATCAAGGAGTCTAAGTGTTATTTTAACGTTCGGATCAGTAAGAGTAATCTTTGCCTTCTTGGAAGAGAAAATAAAACCAATAACAGCTCCTGTGGCTCCAATTAAGACTATAATGCCGCTTGCGATGCCAACCTTAAAATAAACGTAAATTTGCATATTACAATAGTTGCAGGACTGAGACCCATATTGCAATTAAACAGCAGACACAAAGAACGCGCACTAGCCTTGGCAAACTGAAGTAGTTTAAAATAACGAAAGTTATTACACCAATATGTCTAATTTGTAGCTAATAAAATATTTATTCTTGTTAAATCTATTTTTTGCTAAGCTAATGAATATTATTTTAACATTAACTTAAATGTATATATAATTTTTTAAATTCATTTAAAAATTTTAAACATAATTAACGTACATCAAAGTTAGTTGAAAACTATGCACATAATTTAACTATTTAAATTACTTAAAGCTTTTAAATAGCTTTTCATTGTTTTTGTATCTTTGTCATTAAGATATTATTACTCATTTTCGTAAATTTTATGTGCAAAATGTTTTTCTTCGTTACCCTTATGTATTGCGTCAAGATGGATCCAATCTTAAATTTAACCCTTTAATCTTAAGTTAGGTTCACTTTTTGAAATGCGGTATTCGTTTTTGTGTTCTACACTCTTACAATACGATTATTTAAGTTGGGTCATAAACTTAATATATATATTCTCACAGATTCTTGATAATTTAATATTTTTCGATTAGTGTATA